GACAAAGAGGAATATTACATATACATATATATATATATATATATATATATATATATATATATATATATATATATACATACATACATACATACATAAACAATCGAGCAAGTTATATACCAACATATTTCATTGAGAAAAAGAGAAGAAAAAAAAAGAAAAGAAAAAAAAGACAGGAGGGTTTGGAATTAGAGTTGAGCGAACACGAATTTTGCGGTTCGGGTTCGCTCAACTCTAATTCCAAACCATCCTGTCTTTTTTTCTTTTCTTTTATATACCAACATATTTCATTGAGAAAAAGAGAAGAAAAAAAAAGAAAAGAAAAAAAGACAGGATGGTTTGGAATTAGAGTTGAGCGAACCCGAACCGCAAAGTTCGGGTTCGTACCAAACATTAGGTTTTTTGGACCCAGGACCCGAACATGGACATATCACTGTATGTTCGGGCTGGAGTTTGGTGTTCGGTTATTTAATGGCGCGTTTTCAAAGGCTGCAGGGCAGCCAATCAACAAGCGTTTGACTCGTGTGCCCTTAGAAGCCATCACAGCCATGCCTACTAATGGCATGGCTGTGATTGGCCAGTGCAGCATGTGAATCAGCCTCTATATATAAGCTGGAGTCGCGTAGCGCCGCACGCACATGAGCTCTTATTAGTGTAGGGAGAGTATGCTGCCGCTGATAGGGACAGCTTAGGAAATAATTCTGCAAATTAGTACATTAGAGTGGTGGGGTGCACTTCATATCTGAGAGTCAAATAGAAGCTTCAAATACCGTGGTTACATCTGAGTTTTAAAAAGTCAATTTTTTTTGGTTCTAAATAGTACATTAGTGGGATAGTATTTCATATCTGAGAGTCAAATAGAAGCGTCAAATACTGCGGTTACAGCGCAATTGCAAACATTCTAATTGTTTTGCTGCTAAATAGTAAATTTTGGGGCGTGCACTTCATATCTGAGAGTCAAATCGAAGCGTCAAATATTGCTGTCACATTGCAGTTTTAAAAAACTTACATTTTTGGCATTGCTAAACGGCTAAATAGTATTTTAGTGGGGTGCACCTCATATCAGAGTCAAATAGAAGCGTCTAATAGTGTGCTTACAGCGCCCTTGTAAAAATTCTAATTTTCTGGGTGCTAATCTGCTCAATAGTATATTTTGGGGCCTGCTCTTCATATCTACAAGTCATGCTACAACAAAATTAAACAAGTTTTAAAATATGTATGGGCCAACCAGTGGCTGTAAACACCAGCACAGCATAAGAGTGAGCAGGGTGCAAAAGCGGAGAGGCCGTCCCCTAGCACTCGTTGGCACGTATTAGCTCGAGAATTACCAGTTATCCAAGTAATACATGTAGTGATCAAAGGATCCATAATAGAGTTGAGCGAACCCGAACTGCAAAGTTCGGGTTCGTACCAGATTTAACGATCCATTCACAGTTTCACAGTGAGGTGGGCAGTCTGGTGACCAGGACCCAGACACTGTCTGGGTGGCGGTCAGACAACCGGGACCCAGAATGCCTGATGTTGAAGTTAGGAGTCACAGTGTGGAATGGATTAGAAGGGTCTGGTGCAGGGTAACTGCACGCCCCCTGGTGTTGAGCACCAGCGTTTGTGCGGCCACATACCAGGACCCTGATGCAGCTTCAATAAAAAGAGTACTGGATACCAGAAGCCATCACCAGACTGATCCGCAGCTTGGAACAGGATGTGACATTCACTGTAGCGGCTGTGCGCACTTTTGGCGTTGTCACCCTGCTGCTGCTCACCTGTCTGCGCTGCAGCATAACTTCAGCCTTCCTGCTCACTGCCTCATGAGACTGTGCGAGCAGCAGCAGGCGATAGTGGAGTTTCAGCTGCAGCACGCACGGGTCAGTGGCTCTGCACCAGACTTCTCTCCAATTGATCAGAGTTAAAAGATTTCAAATGTACTCATTACAACTACAGGGCCTCTGTACAATTAAGAGTCCTGTATTGTTATTTGTCGTCACTACCTTCCCGCGTCGGGAGTGGGTCATTTGCGCGCCTGCTGCCTTCCTTGCATGTGGTAGTCGTTTTTCAGGGTCCCTGTACAGAATGGAACCCTGATTCCCGTTATCCGTGGTCACCATGGTAAGAGCAGAAACTGGCATCGAAAGTTGATATGGATGACATCCGCATGCAAAGTCGCCGCCACGGGGATGTGCAATTGGCCTGAGGTACTCTAGAGTCAACAAAGTGCCTTCGCAACTATAATGTCAACAGCTACTCTGCGGAACAGAGTTGTCTTCTTTTATATGTCCCAAAATTTTGGGGGCTTCTCCAATTAAAATATATATATATATATATATATATATATATATATAAACAGTGTTGGCTACCTCATCCTCCTCCTCCACCACCACGGTCACCGCCTCCTCAACCTATGGGTCACTTAGTATAAACTAGGTACACATTAGCAAAGGCTTGTGAAGGCCTTTTCTCCATGCATCAGGAGTTGAGCATTTCTCCATGCATCAGGCCTGCAAGAAATGCACCGCAAGCCGCAAATGTTTCTTTTTTTTGTATGTCCCAATATTTTGTGGGCTACCACAATAAAAAAATAAAAAAAAAACATAAAAAACAGTGTTGGCTACCTCCTCCACTGCTGCTGCTTCCACCTACACCGCCACGGTCACCGCCTCCTCAACCTATGGGTCACTTAGTATAAACTATGTACACAATAGCAGAGGCTTGTGAAGGCCTTTTCTCCCTGCATCAGGAGTTGAGCTCAGTTTTGCACTCCAACCCTGTCTCAAATGGATAATTCCGGTGATCCTCCTGACAGCCATGCTTTAGATTTTGATTTATGTTCTTCCAAAGCTAAAATCAAAGATTCCATCTAGTGCTATTTTATGGCTCAGCTGTATTTTTCATGTTTATGTTATTTTAAGTGATTTCCCTATCCACATTTGTTTGCAGGGCACTTGTCCTACTCTTACCCCCATTTTACTTGCTTTTGCAGCTCTCTAGCTCTTTCCAGGAGTTTTTTAGAGGCATTTTTGTGGCCAAAGGTTTGGGTCCCCATTGACTTCAATGGGGTTCGGGTTCGGGGTCAAGTTCACCCGGACTGTTTTTCAAAGTTCGGCCGGACACGAACATCCAGGTGTCCGCTCAACACTATTTGGAATCTTTCTCCGTTTTTTCCATATTCTTTTTTTTAATTTAATTTATGGTAAATTTAATAAAATGCATCAAAGTAAAGGGAGTCAAGCTTTAGCATGAGTTATGATTACTACACATTTCTAAACTATTAGTATCCAGATCAAAGATTAAACTGCAGTCTCTGGTTCATCAAAAGAGGACATAATCAGTTGATCAAAAGTCTACCGAGTTAAAGGAACATTAACAAAATTAAAATTTGACACAAACTCAGCCAGACGGATAGACATGGTAGGTCTTTTTCACTTTTGCAACAAATTAAAGTGAACTGAAGCCAAACTGCTAAACGTGCTTACCACATTGGATTGAATTTTTTTCCAAATCAGTAATTTATGTCTAAATGAAATGTACTACTTTTAGAGACTAGTTGCTGTTTACTGCCTGCAGTAATTCACAATTAGTGACACTGCAGTAAGCCAGTCACTAAGTAGTGGCTAATGGTTCCCATTATTCTTTATGGTAGCTAATAGTCTAGTAGTGATCGGATCCTAACTGGTTTACAACTCTCATGCTACTCATTACTAGTTCATGCTACCACAAACAACTTAACATCAACCTCTGACCTGGTGGAATGAGGTTTAAGGGTTACTCCAACCAAAAAACTGTATTTTCAACAACAACAAAAAAAGTTACCCTCAGTCTGTGCTTCCTCCATTGACATCACTTCCCTTCACTGGAGCGTGGAAGGGAGGATGGGTTGAGGGGAGGTAAATGGCAGCATGGAGGGGACACCCAGGGAAAGCTGCTAATGGCAAACCAGGGACACCCAAGGAAAGCTGCTAATGGCGGCTGGGCATGGTAACTCCCAAACAGTGTTTCAGACCTGGACCATAGTCGGTGGACAGGAGGCCAGCTTCCACACTTCTCCAGGAGTTCATGGCAAGCGTTTGTGGAAAGGAGCGTTTGTCACAGTACTGGACCCATGGAAGGAATCAGTGACTTGTATATGCATCAGCAGGGATATTATTGTCTGAGATTATATGAAGCTCTGTTAAATGTGAGTGGTCATTTCTTCCTATGAACTACTATTTATTTTCAAATATACTACATTAGATTTTTTTTTCCTGTTTTGTCTCACCCACATATACCACACTAAGGACTGACACACCGAATTGAGAGTTTTGACTTTTCATTACTGTATGTTTTACTAATAAATATATATACACACACACACACACACACGTGCACACATATTCACCCGGTTCACCCTCCCCTCTGGGCCTTCAGCATGCCGGTAGCAGGCAAGTGGGTGCATGCCATGGTCAGTTGTTCTGGTTATGGATAACACATCGGTGAGTACAGGATGTGGGTGTTTCTTTTGGGGGTGTTAAGTGGGCATATATTCATGTTGTCACAGTAATTGTCCTGATGAAAGCTCCTTGTGAGAGCTGAAACGTCAACACTTTTATGGATTAAAGAACAGTTTTTTTTCAACTACTCAAGTCCTTGGAGTGCGGCTTATTCCACTATATATATATATATATATATATATATATATATATACATACATACATACACACACACATATACTTGTGAAAGCTCCTAATTGGAGCTGAAACGTCAATTTAAAAAAAAAAAATTTTTGACCATCTTTATTTTTCGTTTGACAAGTTACTAGTATAATAAGCATTGCCGTAATGATACATATTAAGTTGCAGACAAATTTGCTTTGAGACAAAGCAGGCATCCACACTTATATGTACACATTCAACATGAATCTCGTTATACATTGGGTCATATAAACAACTTTGTATTTTGTATTAGTCTAATTTTCTTGCTTAATGATGATACAATTCTATCCATGGTTCCTGTATTCGTCCCATCTGGCACGTACAACATCACGGGGCATCTACAGTTTCTTCACATCTGGTCTGCACCACAGCCCTGAGTGAATCGGGCATAGTATAGGCTTAGCAATGAAAATATCGGTTCTTTAATTGACAGCCTACATCTTTATCAGTTCCCTTTGCCACCCTTGTTAGGTAGTTTCTAGGCATAGACTTTCCACTGCGTTATACATCCACCATTACTAATGTTAAAGTTGCTAGCGGCTATGAGATATGGTAATCTTAAGTGTGGTCATTAAGCAGATTTAGTATGTAACTCGTAGGTAGCGTTCAGGTGAGATCTACATCCTCCCGATGTGCCTGCTATTTTCTATTTACAGGCCAGATGGCATGTATGTATATATATATAGTCAAAGCCTATTTGCCTAATGTGTGCCTAACATGATAGCTCTACCTTATTGTGTGTTGTCAGGGACGTGGTGGTTGAGCAGACCTCTGGTATGAACCCAACATGTCACGCAGGGTCCACCCTAGTATCATGTTTCTCTTGTGATGTTATTATATTAGACTATGTCTGAGGGCTGTGCCACTGTACCTTATTTCGATACACTACCCTGGAGGTGGAAATGCCCTATCGGGTAGCGGGAATGGTCAGTATCGCGTATACCTAGCGACTCCTTTGATCAGCGGGCTAATGAGTGAGATGGGGAAGGAGGAGGGTAGGTATGGGGGAAAGAGAGAAAGTAATGTCATGGGGAGGGAGGAGAGAGAGAAGGAAAGAAAAAAAGGGAAAAGGGGGAGGGAGCTGTGCATTCGGCTTTCCCCGGCCCCCGCCGACAAGTTTGCGCCCCCCACACCCTCCCTCAGGGCCAATGAGTTCAGAGAAGCGTCCCATCCATGGGTCCTGTAGTATGTTCCTTGTGCCCTGATGCTGTGAGCCTCTCCATCATATGTATCTCCTCAACTTTGTCCAGCCACTGTTGGAGAGTGGGTACCTGGGTCAAATGCCATCTAGCTGGGATTAGTAGTTTGGCCGCATTGAGGAGATGTCTTGTTAATGACTTTTTATATCCAGAGATAGGCCTTGGAGTATGATGAAGGAGCATATGGAGCGATTGGAATGGAAGGTCTGTGTCCAGGATTTCCTTAATTGTAGCTTGGACTTCATTCCATAATGGGGTTATTTTACTGCAGGACCACCAGACATGGAGATCTGTGCCCACCTGTTCCTCACACCTCCAACAGGTGTTTTGGACTTTAGGCAGCATCCAGTGTATCCTCTCTGGAGTTTGATACCGTCCGATCAACAGTTTGTAACTTAGCTCCTGCTGCTTGGAGCACATGGGACTTTGGTGGGTATGTAGATTTTTGACCATGGAGGGTCAGAAAGCATGAATCCCGTGGCTCTTTCCCATCGTGCTGTGCTTTACAGGTTCAAGCTGTTCCGATGACTGAAGAAGCGTGTACAGGGACGAAATCCCCTTATATAGGTGTACCCAAGCCCTGCACAATTCGAGCCCCATCAGGGATCTGTGAAAGAGGTGTCTTCCATGTTGGGAGTTGTAATATGATTTAACTTGTTAGTAGCAGAACCTGTCCAGAGTCGTCAGGGTCCTGTTCGGCATTATTTCAGGTAACGGTTTGATTGTGTTGGGCGTGCACCACTGGCTCATGTAAGTCCAATCTGGCTCGCCAAATGCGTTAATGTCCTTGGGTGTGAGGGCCCCGGCAATTTCCGGGTTAAATATTACGGGGTTAGTAGACCCAGCATTGTAGTGAGCATAAGCTTTGATGGATACTTGGTTTTGTCAAATAAACCTGAGGATGGCCAAGTCCAAAATCTGGATGTAAGCTTTTGGACTTGGCAATCAGGACGTAGGCAAGCAAAGAAGGACATAGGCAAGCAGATCAGGATCGTTTGGAAAAATAAAGCAAGCGAGGAAGGAGGTTCATCTTGATGGCATTAATTCTGCCAAACCAAGAGACGCAGAGGCTGGACCACCACACCATATCAGTTTTCAGCATGTGTAAGAGCAGTGTGAAGTTGTGGGTATACAATTGGGATAGGTCCGCGGTTAGCCATATACCAAGGTGTTCAAGTTTGGTGTTGCAGCAGGTAAATGTGAACTGGGTTCGTAGATGGGTGGCCTCCACTTTCTTGATCAACATGGTTAGTGCTTCCGATTTTTCCGTTTTCAGCTTCAGGTTGACGTATTTGTTGACATAGTGTTTGCAAATAATATTGTGACCCCTGCCTTTTGGGCCATCTTGTGATTTGCAAAGAACCCCACCAGGTACCTTGAATCCCAGAGTGCTGGGCTAGTATCCCCTTAAAAAC